TGACTGAACGAACAGTGTCACCACAGAGATCAAAGAAGATAATAATAATAATAACTGAAAGTGAAAGTGAAAGTTTAATCCTTGCTGCACAGGACCAAGGCTTGTTAACTAGAAATTATCAAGCACACATACTAAAAAATTGTGTTGGCCCCAAATACAGATTCTGGGATAAATATCCAGGAACAATTGACCATCTTGTATAAGGTTGCGCGTTATTGGCACCCACTGAATATAAAATACGGCATGACAGAGTGGGTCAATATCTGCACTGGAAAATCTGCAACTTCTACGGAAAGGAAACTGAAAGAAATTGGTATGAACACCGCCCAGACCCGGTTAGGGAGATAGGGCCTGTAACAATTTAATGGGACGACACAATACACACGGACAGAACAATCAAAGCTAACCGCCCAGACATTGTTATTAGAGACCGCAAAAAAAATTGCCTCCTTATTGATATGGCAAACCCTGTAGACTGCAGTGTATCTTTGAAGATCTTCAAAAAGCTATCAAACTACAAGGACCTTGAAATCGAAATCTCAAAAATGTGGCACATGAGAACATCATGTAATCATAGCCCTCGGATTGGTTGGAAAAGATTCCAATAGACTCCTTGAAGGGATTCCTAGTAGCCAATGCCTTAAAGAAATACAAATAATTTTCTCACGGTACAGCCCACGCCTTACGAAGGGCTTTATCTATGTAAAATATGTGATTTTTTTTTTTCAAAATTGCTCAGTGGAAAATGTTCTGCTGCCATTTCTGACCTTAGGTCTCTGGTCGGGACCCGGAAAGAAATGAGTATAGATTAGAAAACAAAAGAAAATGATAATAATAATAATAATACTTTGCCCGTACCAAAGAAGCTGATGTAGACAAACCCTGTATCCCTCAGTGGTTGCTTAGGGCATGGTTAAAAATTAAAATCGAAGGCTTTATTCTTGCTTCACAGGACCAATGCTAACTAACTAGAAATTACAAAGCACGCATACTGAAAAATTGTATTAACCCGAAATGCAGATATCCAGAAACAATTGACCATCAGGTTGCAAGGTGTTAACACCCACTGAATATAAAACTCGGCGTGATAGAGTGGGCCAATATCTGCACTGGGAAATATGCAACTTTTACGAGAAGGAAACTGCAAGAAACTGGTATGAACATCACCCAGACCCGGTTACAGAGAAAGGACCTGGAACAATTTTATGGGACTTCACAATACACACACTGACAGAACAATCAAAGCTAATCGCCCAGAAATCGTGATCAAAGACCACAAAAAACAGAATGTGCTTTCTTATTGACATGTCAGTCCCTGTAGAATCTCGGGAAAAGGTTTTGATATATATTTATTTCATTCCTGCCTCTTTCGGTTGAAAAGTCTATTTCGCTAGAAAAACTACATCTACTCGGGAACTAATGTCTTATGTGGTATAATCTTTTTGAATCTCTCATATCTAAAGTGTTAATATTACTCACTGAACCCATAAAAATTCTATTATACGACGCCTCTGTTATTCCCGCATGCTGTAACTGTATCTTCTGATTCTATCCCTTATCCCTTCCAATATTATTTGCCCATCTATTTTTTTTTATCTAAATGTAAAAGATTAGTTTCGCACGCGAAAAGGAATATTTATTCCTGCATCCTTTCTGTCGTCATTCTTTTGCTCTGGATCGACATGAAGGATTTTAATACATAAATATTCTCACGCCATTCACTCTTTCCCTATTTTTGCTCATTGTCTTTTAACATCCAACCAGCACCAGTTTTTCTTTCGTTTTTATCCTTTCTTCGTTTTCTTATACGTAAAAGGGGTGCTGAAAAGTGCTCAGTACAGCCCACTGCGTAAAATCTGACCAAATTGTAAAACGTCAGATTTGGTGTGTGTGTGGGGGGGTATGGGAAAGAACTACTTAGTTGAGATGCCAACTTTTCAGCAATATCTCACATAGTTTTTTGGTTTTCTTTACGTTTTTCTGTTGTTTCCTTACCTTCTTCCGTTCCTTGTTCATCCCCTATTTTCACCTTCCTCTTCTTCTTCGCTTGTCCCAGTTCATCACTAATTCCAGCACAGAAGGACTAGGAATTGAGCAGATACTACAGTCTGATCTTAGGTAGAAAAGAGTCGTACATACGGACAAGTTAAATAGCGATAGAAGAAATAACAATAATAATAATAATAATAATAAAAATTATTATTATTATTATCATCTTTGGTTTCTGTTGCATACACATTTCCTTCCGAGTCCCAACCAGAGACATAAAATCAGAAATGGCTTCACGACATTTCCCACTAATCATTTTTGTAAAAAACAAAAAACAAAAAATAAAGCCCTAAAATCACAGATATTTTTACATAGATAAAGTTTTTCTGAGAAATTTTTTTTGTATTTCTTTAAAGCAGAAAAGTACGTGAACCGGAAATTGTGAAATATGTAAGAAAATGCATTGTGGGACGGTTCTGAAGAACGCTTTCAAAGGGACTGGAAGAATGAACGTATGAATCTTCGGAACGAGACATACGATTTCCTTCTTCACTTGCAGTAGATGCTTTCAATTGCACGCCTTCTGTTTGACTCGCTTGGCAAAATGTGTAATCATGTTTTTCGTTCAGCGACAAAAAACAAAAAAAAAAAAAAAAAAAAAAAGAAAGAATGGTACTGGCAAAGCAAAAGCTTCCGGGGGAGGTAATCAACTTATAGATTTTGAGAAGGGATCAGATAAAACGCGCAAAAGCCCGTAACGATTTGTAGCTTGTCTTCGGCCGACAGCAATGCTAGCAATTAAAGGGTTGTATTATTCGTTGTTGTCATCGCCGTTAACGGCATGCGCCACTGTCCGTAGATTTATGAGCACGGACACAGATTACGTTATAGTTAAAAAGAATGAAAT